AAAAAATCCTTAACATGTGGAAGTCGCCGTAAGGAAACGAAAAAAATCTTCTACTGACTGTCACGAACTTAACCAGTTCAGAGAATAATTTGGATGAACCATTGAATACAAAATATGGAACTTAAAAGCCTGGAGTGCCAATGACCACCACAAGAGGCGACTTGTTGGATCCATAGAAAAGTTTCTAGGTATATCAAAGGTTTTTGGTTCCGTTTCTAAAATGAATTCTTTTCCAGCAAATTAAACTTTAAGTTTTGGAAATACCTCACACAAGGCTAAAATTCCTTTTCTATTGTGGATATCTTGTTTCTAGGCGGGAAGGAGTTTTCCGGCATAGGAAGCATACAGGGAAGGGAGTACCATCATGGTATTGTAGTAGCAACCGCACCTAAGCCAGTTATTGAGGCATCAGTTTCTCAAACACAATGTGTTTATTAATATCGTGGAAACTTAAGTATAGGGTCTTTTCAAGAAGATACTTTTTAATCTCATTAAACTTTCCCCGAGTTACGTCGGAAAGTTCAAGAGGTTCCTTCACAGACTTTTTAACCGCTTGATGGTCGAGCAGGCCCTCACCGAAACTCGATCTCAGGGTCGCCAAATTTAAAAAAAAAAAAAAATTATTTTCTCTTATGAAAAGTAGATAACTTTCAGATCAAAGACACCAAAAGTTTGAAATTTGATAGAAAACTTACGGAATTATGCTCTCGCAAAGTTAGCGGACTCGGCGATGTTTACGCATCGGCCGAATTTGCCCACTTGAAGCCCCCATTTTCGGCCAGAATTCACTGAACAGTCGACACAAAAACATGAATATTATTCGATAGATCTTCTCCATTTTTTTCCTATCGAATGGGTGCAAGAAACCACTCATTTATGAAATTCTACTATCCAGTACAGTGGTCAGATTTAGCAATTTTGCCATTTACACACAAAATTTCAAAAGATGGCCAATTTCCGAAATAGGGTCCAGAATAAACAAGAAATACATTCCTCCTGGCACTAAAATGACATTTCCTCTTGTCATTAGTCATGTCTCAAGGCCCCTCTTGTTATTCAATTTGCTTTCCTACTTTGAATTGTTTATTTCACAAAAATATAAGATTTACTGTTATGCAGACTACAGCATTAGAGTAAAAAAAGGATAAAAATATTATTGGTGCACTTGTGAAAGAATATTAGACATCACCAGTTACGGTTATTCACGCTTGGTCACGATTTGTTTTACTTTTGAAGTTTGGTAAAAATCGAACATTTTCTGCTATTTCTTTAGCTCCATTTCAAGCACCTTTTTCTTTGTAAAACATTCAAAATCATTCAATTTCTGTAATATGTATATCATTCGATAAAATGAAGACCCAGAACACTAGAATACAACAATAAATACCATTACGAAAATACACTGGCAAAGTTCCTGATTTATTCAAAAAAAAATGTAAAAGTTTGTTTTTTTCTCATTAGCACTGTGTGCTGCAGATTTTTTTTTAGACGTGCACACTGACCACATAGACCCATTCTTTTCATAAGAAGGCCTCCCAAGCTTTCTCCCACTAGAATTTATGAGTACTAAGTACGTCAAAAACCTCCCCTATCCCAACGCGAAAGACGAACTAGTACGACGAACCCACAAAGGGTTTAAGGAAGTCTCCGAAAAGATGCCTGTAAGATCAGCAAAGATTCGGGATAAACCGTGCAGAAAAATATTTACAGAACCAAGAAAGCCTACGCATGAGCTTCTTTGTTTTGGGGATATAAATTCTAATAAAGCTTTGATCTTACTGGGAGAGGCTGCATAGAGTTAATAGAAAGTATCAGTCCAAGAAATCTAATCTTGTTATAACCCAAGAAGCATTATTTCGGCTTATGGCTTGAGGCCATGTTGAAGCGTAACCTACGCAAAACTGATGTAATGTTTGGATATGTTCGCCCCAACGTAGAAGTCCCATTACGTAAATGTTATCAAAATAAACTGAAACATTTGGCATATAACCCAAGACCTTTCTAGACAGTTCACAACGAGGTAGCACATGCAGTTACCAAACGCGACATGGCAAAGTTCTATACTGCATCAGTCCTTGATGTGTAGGAAAAGCGTTGTACTGCTTTAGAAAGAATGATCTAACATTTACTTGACGAAATTGCCTGCCGCAATATCATCTCAGAAAAGAATGAAGAGTCATAAATTGTGTAGATCGCAAACTATTAAGGGCATAGCTCAGCATCCACCGAGTAATAGCAATAAGGCATCTGAAGTCAATAGCAAAGTCTAAATGAATTATCCATCCTCCTTAAACCATGACTACTGGTGAGAGCAATATGCAGATAACTGAAGGTTCAATGATCCCTTAGTTTTAATAATTTGTCTACCTCGCTCGGGGGGGACCTCTCGGACAAATGTCGGGTGCATTACCTAAGGGAACTTGAACTGGAAAATATTTTCCGTTTGAAGGATTGTCTTTCATTACCGTGGATTTTACCCTGGAGAGAGTTCCGGTTGTCA